ATCATGTTTAATATGCGCCGCTATATAAACAGAGGTGTACTGATAAAAGTTTATTAGGGAATTCTATGCTGAGATACCCCCTAACCATTTTAAATGCATATTCATCACAAAATATAACTCCTCTGGTGAGATATTGCGCATGCGCTAATACACTAACATAGCCAGATTGTGTACTGGCTGGGATACGCAGCGGCAAGTATAAATGCAAGGTCTTCCTCATATTTCCTAAATGATGTCTACTGATGGAATGCTATTATAGAAATCTATGCTAGGATAACTCCTCGTTGTTTTAAATGCATAATCTTTGCTAAATACGATTTCTCTCGGGAGATATTGCGCATGCGCGCGTGTTAGACGTGCAGTGCCGTCTGAGGCAAAATTCATGATATCGCTTGCTGAGGGGGAGAGGAATGGGAGACTGAGGAAAGGCGGCAGGAAAGATAGCTGGGGGCGGTAGAAGAAGACGGGGGCTGAGCGAGGGACAGGGGAGGCAAGGGGAAGGACGGCAGGGCATAGAGTAGGTGTTTTGTACCCTACATGCTAGGACGCTCTCCAAATAATGAACACAGTTCTACTAATAAAGGTTTATTAGGGAAATCTATAATGAGATACCCCCTAACCATTTTAAATGCATATTCATAAAACAATATAACTCCTCTGGTGAGATATTGCGCATGCGCTAACACACTAACGTAGCCAGATTGTGTACTGGCTGGTATACGCAGCCTGGACCTTACATGCAAGGTCTTCCTCATATTTCTTAAATGATGTCCACTGATGGAATGCTATCATATAAATCTATGCTAGGATAACTCCTCTTCGTTTTAAATGCATAATCTTTGCTAAATACCATTGCTCTCGGGAGATATTGCGCATGCGCGCGCACCGTGTTAGGCGTGCAGTGTCTGAAGAAAACTTTATAATATAGCTTGCTGCGGCAGAGAGGGGATGGGAGACTGAGGAAAGGTGGCAGGGAAGATAGCTGGGGGCGGTAGATGTCTACTGATGGAATGTTATCATAGAAATCTATGCTAGGATAACTCCTCTTCATTTTAAACGCATACTCTTTGCAAAATAGGAATTCTCTCGTGAGATATTGCTCAGGCGCGCGCTTCATGTTAGGCGTGCAGTGCCGTCTGAGGAAAACTTCATAATGTAGCTTGCTGCGGGGGAGAGGGGATGGGAGACGGAGGAAAGGCGGCAGGGAAGATAGCTGGGGGCGGTAGAAGAAGAAGGAGGCTGAGCGAGGTACACGGGAGGCAAGGGGAAGGACGCGAGGGCATGAAGTAGGTGTTTTGTACCCTACATGCTAGGGCGCTCTCCAAATAATGAACACAGGTCTACTGATAAAGGTTTATTAGGGAAATCTATAATGAGATACCCCCTAACTATTTGAAATGCATATTCATCACAAAATATAACTCCTCTGGTGAGATATTGCGCATGCGCTAACACACTAACGTAGCCAGATTGTGTACTGGCTGGTGTGTATGTGTGTGTGTACGTGTGTGTTCCCATGTGTGTATGGGTACATGTGCGTGCGTGCGTGCGCGTGTGTGTGCGTGCGCGCATCAATGCGTGGATATTGCTGATGTCAGTGTGCGCTGTTAGTACTGGCAGGCTACTTGTGCTGCTGCTGCTGGCACAGACAAACATGAAACATGGCGAGACGGGCGTGCGCGCGCGCGAAGAGCCGTTTTTATTTTGTAAATTAAATAGCATAGAAGATTATTTATAATTGTTGTTAAGAAGATAATTACCGTGTATTGGCGAACGAGAGGTAACGTGTCACATAGAAATTATGGCGAGTAAAGACGGCATACTTGTTACAGCTGCTATATACAACGCGTTCATGTGTTTTTTCTTGACTACTTCGATGCGATTTGTTGTTAATTGCTGTTCTATATCTATCATGATAGCTAATCATGAATTTTGCGGTACGTTCCTGTAACGATGTCATTTCACTTTTTTTTTTGAGAATTTCCATTAGATGCCTCTCTGGGAGTGTGTTGCTTTTGTTCACCGATTTAGAAAATTGTTGACACCTGTTGAATTGCCCTAGTCTTTAATGTTAACAAGGTAACTGCTACAAATCTTGATTTTTTTTAAACGTTGCATTGTATATTATATGCAGCTAATTACTCGACAATTTATAAATATTGCATATTTCACTAATCTGAACTTGGAATCATATTATGCGTGTACCTGACTTATATATAGACTGGTATATAGCGACCAGTTATTAGAAACCGCATTACCCGTGTTAACACGTGGTGCTTATCTCTGCCGTCTAGTCCTTCCCGCCTATTGAAATTACGAAATGAGATCGTGGTAGCAACACTCCACATAGTGCGCTTTGACGCTCGTTATATGGATATGTTCACACTATTATTATTTGTCGCTTTTATTCCGATGGGAGCACGCAGTAACGAGAAACAGGTTAGTGTTAGGTGGTGTGGTGTAGTGTGGAGGCGTGTAGGGGGCGTGGTGTAGTGTGGAGGCGTGTAGGGGGCGTGGTGTAGTGTGGAGGCGTGTAGGGGGCGTGGTGTAGTGTGGAGGCGTGTAGGG